AGTAGTTAAATTCCTTAATATACTCCTTTCAGTTAATAATCATACCCATATCATTCCGTGGTTGTCTTAAGTGGCGTTAGAGGTAAACTAAAACAGGAGATTTGCAGCATCGTCGTCATGCTGCGGTTTCCAATCCGCCTGCCAAGAATGACAATTGTGGCAAGGAAGTAATATATGGAAAATGTCTATGGTTAGCAGTGGGCATTGTTAGGCTGTAATGATGATGATGAATATTATTATTTAACGTTTAATTCCTAAAAACTAAAATGAAAGGAAGAGACTCAGAGAAATAAGACCGTGAAAGCATAAGAGTCATTTTTTTCCTTTCTCTGTGCTCTAATTACGCGTTGCAACCGCTTTCACGGGTACAAAATGAAAAGAAAACTTTTTCAGTAATGCGACGTGCTTTCTTTCAGTGGATTCTCACTTAATTTACCTCAAAAGTCCTAAACTCTAATGAAGTAACCGGAATATGGATCTTTTCGTTAATGTTAATATTTACTTTCAAATTTTTATTGTTCTGCTTCTTTTTACTTTAAAATAGAATGCACCCTTAATGACCTAACTATTGGGAACAATATGTTGGAGTTATATAAGCAAGTAGTAAAGAGTTAATTTAAAACTTGTCATATTATAAGATCAGTACAACGTAAAACCTTATGGTAAATAGATGCTGTGGCTCATAGACATTTATCCTCGATCAAAAATCAAAATTCAGATATGTTGTCACCCCTGAGGACTCGGATGGAATGCTTTGTTTCTAGTAAAGAAATTAACTTTAAGGACTTTAATTCTTCTATACAGTATGTTTTAGCACCGTCTTCAGAGTGTGAAATATTAAAAAAAGTATTTTATTCTTTTCTTGTTTGTTTAAAGCCGGCTGTTACGTTTTATTAAAAGTGGTTTTTTTTTACCATGTTGAGTGAACTAAAGAATACCACAATCTCAATATCGTCTAAATAAGTCTAATAAAAACTTCATTTCCTATTTTGATGCCTTACGGGGTGGACCTCATCTTCAAATTTATATGGGACCCACCTTATCCAGTTCTCGACACTCACTATACGAAACACAGCTGCATTAAGCTGCTATTTTACGCTAGTACTCTGTGAGGGCTGGTTCTTCCCCGGCCAAGCCAACCCATTCGTGTTACGATCATAATATATAAAAAAATAAAAAAATTAAAATAGTTTATTCAGTAAATGATCATACATTAATTATAACCGGGGACGGGGTCTCCTTTTAAGTATAAAAACTTGTGTTAGGAGACGCCGCTCTTCCATAGCACTTACATTAACTACTTGCATGACCTTTATACATAATAATTGACTATATAAATTAAGATAATAAAAGTAATTACATTCACGCCAAAGGTGCGTTTATGCGCAAACGCGTGCGTGCGTGCGTGTGTGTGTGCGTGCGTGCGTGCGTGTGTGTGTGTGTGTGTGTGTGTGTGTGTGTGTGTGTGTGTTACAATTAAATTACTTTATTTTATGATGCTTAAAAGAGCCTCAGTATCATCATAGCTCTTATTCAATAGCCATTTGGTTAGAGCATATTTGCAATTTCGGTAATTAAGGTGGTAAATATTTATGTTTTTATTAATGACGTTGTATAGAGTCGCAGACTGTTTTACATATTGCCTCCTAGCTAAAGCGGTTTTAACAGTGACAGCTGTAGCTGCTAGGTTTTTCCTTCTTTTGGCTACAATACAACGGTCAAACTTTATACCTTTATGCAGTCTTAGAACGGAACATAAGATGTACAGCTTCCTAACAGTGAGTACATTACTTATAGCATAGAGATCTTCTGTTGGGAATCTTTTTGGTTTAAAATGCATAATTTTTAACAAATTTCTCTGTGCCCTTTCAACTTCTAAAAACTTAGTTTTAGTAGCACCACCCCATACAGGAATACAATATACTAAAATATACTGAGCCAAAGCAATATATATTTGGTAAACTAAATTTTTCGTAGCAATATTTCTTAGTGTTTTAAATGTCCAAGTAAGTTTCCTGAGTCTATTCATGATTCGTTCAATGTGCCTATGCCACGACAAATGTTGGTCAACTACGACCCCTAGATACTTCGTCACAGAGGCCTTACAAATTAATGAACGGCGGCAACTAGTACTTAAGGGATCATTGCATGTGTGAAGTTTAATTTGGAAATTGATGTTAGGTTGAGTTCGAATATAATTTGTAAAACATATATAACTGGTTTTCAAAGTATTTAAAGTAAGTAGGTTAGAGTTCAGCCACTTGGCGATCCTCGCAAGTCCTTCTTCAGCAGATCTACGTACAGAATCCCAGGAGTCACCAGTAAATATTACTGCAGTATCATCTGCATAGGAGATTATGTGGCCTTCGTTAATGTGCATGTTAGTTAGATTATTTATGTAGACTAAAAACAATGTAGGACCCAAAACACTGCCCTGTGGTACTCCAAATGTTATATCAGATTCCTCGCTTAAGTATTCACCTATCTTTACTTTCTGCTTGCGATCCTTAAGATAGTTTTTAAATAAATCTAAGGGATTACCCCTTACACCCAAATCCTCAAGCCTGTGTACAAGGATAGGAACAGAAACGGTATCGAATGCTTTCTTAAGATCTAAAAATATGGTTAAGCATTTTTTCCTATTGTCTACTTTATTTACAACAAAAGAAGTTAATTCCAAGACTGCATCTTCCTTCGAAAGTCCTTGTCTGAAGCCATATTGAAAATTAGATAAAATATTATATTTGTGGAGATAATTTATTAACCTTACATTTATTAACTTCTCAAGAATTTTGGAGATGGCAGGTAAAACAGAAATGGGTCGATAGCTACCTACGTCATCCCTGTTGCCATCCTTGTACACAGTAGTTATAACTGGTTTTTTAAGGGCATCTAGAAAGATTCCCTTATTAAAGCACAGATTAGCCAAGTGGGTGATCACTGGAACAACAAACTCGTGTGCCATCTTAAGGAATTCGCCCGATATGTTATCCCATCCGGGGGCACTACTAGATTTCAGCTGCATTAATATACTGTATACTTCCTGAGAGTGAGTTTCCAATAATACAAAGGATGTAGGATGAGAGGTTGCTCGTCTATCGATAACAGTAGACGCTAGCCAGGTAGCACTCGAGTTAATAGTATTAGCTAAAGTTTTGCCAATATTTGCAAAAAAATTATTTACATAATTTACAGATACAGAAGGTTCAGATTTTAAATTTAACAGCTCTAAATTTTGGGTTTTATTACATTTACGATACGTTATCTTATTTATTGCGTTCCATATAGCTTTAGGATTGTTATTAGCTTTAGATAATTGCTCACGATCATAATTGCGTTTTAGTTTTTTAATTAAGTTATTGCAATAATTTCTATACCTTCGATACGTTAATTGTAATATTTGATTATAAGGATCACACTTAAGCTTTCTTTGCATGTTATTTCTATTTCTTATACACCTTAATATACCAGGAGACATCCAAGGTTTGATTAAACGTTTATTACACGGGATCAAAGTAATTTTAGTGTTATCTAGGAGGCATTTTCTTATTGTGCCTATTAGAAGTTCAGTTATAATGTTGGGGTCATCATATGATAAAAGATCCAAAATATTATTATTTTTCAAACACGTTAGAGCATTTTCAAAATTAATTAACATTTTGGTTTTAGAGCCTTGGCTCGTCTTACTCACATTCGTTAACTTCAGAAATATCATTTTGTGATCAGTAATAGTGGTATTTAATATAGCAATCGATACAGATTTAAATTTTCTATCTATTTTTATATTAAAATGATCTAGACAAGCGTTACCCCTTGTAGGAGTCATATGACCCGGAAGTAACCCTTGCATTGCAAACATATTCAAGTAACTCAGTCTATTTTTATATTCAAATGCTTGTTCGTTGCATTTAGGTATTATATTTATATTAATATCTCCTGTTATAATGATATTTTTAAACGATTTGAGGTTATCCAAACATTTATTTAAAGAAGTAATAAAGTTTTCCGCATTATTAATCGAGGGTGAGCGATAAATTCCAAGTACAACAATATTATTTATATTTATTTGTAGGCACGAAGCATGCATTAATTTTATTTCTTTGACACTAAATTTACAAGAACGACAACACCATCACATTGGTTAAGGTGATTTGTTGTAGAAAAGGATGTGTAGTTACATATTTGGGGAATAGATTTATTAGCGTTTATTCTACATTCACTTAGAACTATAACGTCAATGTTGTTTTTTAAACAAGATAAATTTAGCAAAAAGTCATCAAAGTTACTGTAAATGCTCCTTATATTCTGTGAAATTATGGTGAGATCCGAATTATTTATGAGAATGTACTTAGAAAATTCATCTAGTTCTAGTTCGCGAGCTTGGGCAATTTCCAATCGGTCTATTTCCTTCATAATCATTAAGGGGCTATTTTCCATGATCGGGTAACAGTAAGTATTTACGTTGTATTAACAATAATTTGTTATACGTGAATACATAGCACAGTTGCAAGTTATCATTTATCATTCGAATAATGCATTGATATTTTAATGTTTGCAGTTATGTATTTTTAATTATAATAGAAATGTGATATTTGCCTGAAATAGTTAATTGATTGTTTTTATGGCATTTCTTATAAGATGCAAAAATAAAAATGTGTATATTTGGAGTGGAGTCTGGAGTGGCGTGACGGACGGCATACAGTCAACTTAAGCTGTTGTATTTTTTCTTCGTAAAAATAGTTTTTGAGTATAATTTCACTTGTTTGTGTCAAAATTAAGGTTCGGATATCTTAACTGAGCTGTGTTATCGTTGTGGATTGCAGTGGATAAGTAATAGTGTAAAAAAATTGTGTTTATTTCACTGTGTAATTAATATTGTCTCCTTTTATTAAATCTCAGTGGAGGGTAGGCAGTACCTCAGAACCATCTGGTGAGCAGTAAGGAACAGTAACATTAACGACATCTTTCGGCATTTAATTAGTAATTAAAACAAATACGATATGGCAAAGTGCGGAGCTTGCGGCAAATTCCTCTCGTCGACAGGTGGCGTTGGTTGTACAGTCTGTCCAAATATATTTCATAGGGCATGTCTAATGGTGTCTGATGGAACAACGATAAGCAAAGATTGGGTGTGCCCGGAATGCAAAAAAAAGTCAAGAAAGGGTGATAACAGCTGTACCCCTGTAAGAGGTATCTCCGGAAACACCCCGCAAGAACCTCAAGTGATCAGGAGCCCGCCATGCAGCGTTGGAACTCAGAAGACTGCTTTGAACGATGATGATTCCCCTGCACGAGAGCTTAGCCGCCAACTTGTTGCCTGCATGGTCGAGATGCGAGAACTCCGTAAGGAAATGGCAGAACTCCATACATCCGTTGCATGCTTCACGGAGCGAATGAATGGCTTTGAACGAAGGCTGGAGGTAATCGAGCAAATGCATACTCCTACCAAAGTGAAGGTCAATGAGTTAGAGAAAACAGTTAATTTATTAAAGCAGGAGCTCAATGACCGGGATCAAGAGGCACTGCTTTCGGATCTTGAGATCGGACATCTACCTGAGGAGAAGGGGGAGAATATCACCCACACCATATCTGTTCTAGCAGTAAGGCTAGGGGTACCACTGGAAGAACGGGACGTCGTCTTTGCGGAGCGTGTTGGAGCGGCGCCACTGTCTTTGAGCGCTAGTACGGAAGGAGGCGTAGCGATACGAGCGCGCCGCGTGGTGGTACGGCTGGCGCGGCGTAGCCTGCGTGACGAGTTGCTGCGCGCTGCTCGCGTGCGTCGCTCAATCACTACTGCGGACATCGGGCTGGCCTCCTCGCCCCAACGCCTCTACGTAAATGAGCGCCTGACGAGGAATAATCGGCAGCTATTCCATAGGGTCCGTGAAGCCTGTCGAAAGCTTTCGTGGCGCTACTCCTGGACCAGAAGGGGTCGTGTCTACGTTCGCCAAGCAGAGGACAAACCGGTTTACAGCATCCGCACAGACGATGACTTTAATCGTGTTTTTCAGTCAAATATTGTTTGCATTAGCAGCTCTGCATAGGGTAAACGATATAAGTCTAAATATATTGATTATAAGAAAATTATTACTACTAAGATTTGTTATAACCATATTTTTAATTATTCATAATGTTATGTATACAAACATTTACAGCTGTTATGGCTATGATGGTGCGATGGTAAGGGCCGAGTTTCTAATTACTGATTTCATGTTTACTTATAATTATTTACAATTAAAACCATTAATTCGTGTTCAAACAGTTATATATCTCAGTTATTTTAAGGGAAAATGTTTAAGTTATAATAATAATAATTCTACTCTATTGATGATTAATTACATTATATATATTTTTAAAACATTGAGCTTCATAAAAAGTATATTAGCGTATCATAATCTAAAGAGCACTCTTCGTAGGTATCTTTTCTCACTTCGTTGCTGCACAAGTATAGTATTTTTGACTATTATCTCATTCATTCAATTCTAAACATAATCTTAAGTTAGGCTTACTTAATGTGGGATCGCTTGGCACAGGACATGACGAATTTCTCGTAGCTATGGATCGTTATTCTGTCGACATAATGGCGATTAATGAAACCTGGTTGCGAGAGGGCGAAGAGGTGCGCTCGCCTGCGGTGCCCGGTTATAGATTACGTCACGTTCCTCGCCCTTCCGACGTGCGCTCGCGCGGAGGTGGAGTGGGCTTCTACATACGTCAGGGCATTGCAGTCCGCACACTACCGCACCCCCCAGCCCCACTCGTAGAGCAAATGTGGCTTGCACTAACAATTAACGGTACAAAATTAATAATTGGTACTGCATACAGACCGCCGTGGTTGAGTGTTGACATTTTTTTCGATGCTTTATCGGAAACTATCGGAACATTATCATGGTGTAATAATGTAGTTTTATTAGGCGATTTCAATATAAATTTATTAAATGATATGGATAATAACTGTAAGAAGTTGAAAATTTTTTTACAATGTTATAAATTAAATCAGTGTGTTACTGAGCCTACCCACTTCACGGAATACAGTGAAACTTTAATAGACCTAGTGTGTACAGACATCCAACAATCATTCACTTTTGTGAATCATATACCGGAACTAAGCGGTCATGCATTTATTTGCTGCGAATTAAATATAAAAAAACCGAAACGAAAACCAATTATTATATCGCGTAGAAATTTGCATGCGATTGATAATGAACAGTTCCTATTAGATTTAAAGTCTTTAAATTGGACAAGTTTCAAAACATTGGATCGCGTCAATGACATGGTATCATTGTTTAATACTATGTTAAAAACATTATTTAACACTCATGCGCCCGTACGTAGAAAATCATTAAAACACTTCCAATATCCTTGGATTACTTATAATATAAAAAAAATGATGAAAGTCAGAGATGAAGCAGGTGTTGTCGCACGTAAGTCAGGTGGTACAGCAGCCCAAAAATTACTTTATAAAGAGCTCAAACACTATGTTGCACAAGCATTAATAAGAGAAAAGAAAGCTTACTACAATTTTTTTATAAATAACCAAAAAGATACTCGCATCGTATGGTCACATATAAAAAAAAAACGTTAGGTTAAAAACTAAGCCGGACCTGCCTCACCATATTTTCAACGACCCCGATTCGATTAATACAAGCTTTTTAAATGTGCCAGGAAATAATCAAGTTCCTATTTCATATATGACATTCTTTAAATCACACGTCAAAGTCTCAAATGTATTCAAACTGAAGACAATTGAGGAAAGTGATATTGTGAAAATAACACAGTCATTAAAGTCAAATGCGGTGGGTGCAGACGGTATTTCCTTGGATATGTTAAAAATGTCTTTTCCCGTAACAATACCTGTTATTACGGAGATAATTAATAAATCAATTACAACGCAAACATATCCCTCAGAATGGCAGCACGCACTCATCAGACCTATACCCAAAAACTCAAATCCTATTAACATGAAGGACATACGCCCGATTAATATACTCCACTGTGTATCAAAAATCCTGGAGAAAGTCGTGGCTGAGCAGGTAAGAATATACTTAGAAACTAACGATGTGCTTCCCAGTCTTCAGTCAGGGTTTAGAAAACACCACAGTACGTCAACCGCTATGATAAATGTTGTCGACGATATACTATCAGATATAGACAGTGGCAAAGGAACGATTTTAGCCTTGCTAGACTTTTCCAGAGCATTCGACTGTCTTAATGTGCCATTGCTTTTGTCTAAATTACATAACTACGGTTTCGACATATCTGCGATAAAATGGTTCGAAAGTTATTTCGAGCATCGTATACAGCAAGTAGAAATATCAGACGAAAATGGGTTACCAGTCATTTCGAACGCTCAGGCTGTCAAACAAGGCGTTCCGCAGGGATCTATCCTAGGACCTATTTTGTTTGCCGTGTATTGTGCGGATATAACAAATTGTATTAAGCATTGCAAATACCATATATACGCGGATGATACACAGATATATATACCTTGTAAACCGGGGGAGACTAAATTAGCGGTGGAAAAATTAAATGACGATCTCGAAAGAATTGCAGCTTGGTCAGATTCGAACGCATTAGTCCTTAATGGAAGCAAGTCTAAATATATGATTCTAGGTACGGCTCAGCAAATACAAAAAATAGCAAAACATGATGCTAAAGTAACCATAAGGAGCGAACGAATTGAACGCGTGACTGAGGCTCGTAATTTGGGTTTGTTGATAGATGACAAGTTACGCTTTGAAAGTCACATAATAAACACTGCAAGAACATGTTTTTATAGGTTAAAAGTATTATATCAAATTAGAAATTGCCTAAATACCGATATGCGGATAAGACTGTGCGATTCTTTGATTCTGTCTAAATTTAATTATATGGATATAGTGTATGGCCCTCGTCTGCTTGTGCATAGCAAGAAACTTGTCCAGAGGGTGCAGAATGCTTGTGCGAGATTTTGTTTTAAGATACCTCCACGCGCTCACGTCACGCCGTACATAAACGAGCACAATATTTTAAAAATGCAGTATAGGCGAGAACACCACCTAGCCACATTTCTATTTGGATTAATTAAATATAATGTACCACCTTATCTTTATCACAAATTAGTGTGGTCTCGCGACGTACAATCAAAGATCACTCGCGCGTCATGTTACTCTTTGGTTGTACCCTACCATCGTACCATTGCCTTTCGTGGAAGTTTCAAATACTCTGCCTCTAAATGCTGGAATAACCTGCCGCCACCGCTTCGTCTTCTGTTCAGTCTGAAAACATTAAATACATTTAAAATAAAATATAAAACTCACCTAATTATTGTTCAAAAAGCTATGGCTTGATATTTACCTACCTAAATAATTACAGACACTTAGCGCTGTCCGGCGGGGTCATACGGAAAGCATAAGAGTGCATAGTACTTTATTTTTTATTTTTTGATACTTAAATGCTGAAATAAAAGCGTTTTTCATGCTATTAATTATAACTATGATACAAGTATATGTTTAACGTGCAATCATTAGTGACTTTATTAAAATATTGTTTCTAGTGATAATATTGTTGCTTAAGATTATGGTTATGATTACATACCTGTGAGAAAATATTTTTGTAGGATGCCATCATTTAGTGTTTCTTCTTTCATATTATTCCCAACTAATACCTCAAAGATACATGACTCTTATGGTGATAACAATACTTTTTAAAAAAAAAATTTCGGACATTCTTTGTACTAGATCCAGTTAGTTCATTCATGTAATCTATGTTAATTATTATTAGTCTATCAATGACGGTGTGAACGTCCGTGCGTCACTTAATTCACAGGCCCACTGAAAACCAGCGCTGTAGTCTCGTATCGACTGCGGCATTAAGCTGAGTGTGGTCTGTTTGCCGTGTACGCCACACACACTTGTGTGCGTAAAATGTGTGATGTGTTTAATATTTTTTTTTTTGTATTCTTCTTTTTTTATTTTTTTTTATTTTTACTATCTCTGTATTTTTTATGTTTATGGTTTAAATGTACATGTGGCGTATTTGAGCAATAAATGTTTTCTTTCTTCTTTCTTTCTTTCTTTCTAATATAAAAAATAAGTAATTTATAATAAAGTGTGTCTGTATAATTGTATTTGTTGTAAGTTAAAAGTTGTGTGTGTATTTGTTTCAGTGTAAAAATTATGAGAAATGAATTTATGCTAACAGTTTTATGCCCAAAAACCATTATAATAAAGTATGATGGGTTTAACATACATAGATATACATATATGAGTCATATTTCTTGTATCAAACTATGTACTTGAGATTCATTTCTAATTACATTGATTGGTGACTTATCGTCTCTCCTGACATATATTTTACCATATGCGGTCCAGCAATACTTATAAACCTTCGTCTTGGCCAACTCTCTTGCTAAGAAGTAAAAGCGAGCTCCTTTTGCAGTCAGTTGTTCGGAAATGAATATGGGACTATCTTCGTTTTTTGTAAAGCCTAAATGTTTGACACATAGTTTTTCTTTGTGTTTTATGTTATAGGTCTTGCATGTCTTCAAGAATTCAGTCTTCAGGATAGTAGATGTCATTTCAACTATAACAGGCGTATTTACTTGATCTCTTTTTTTACCTTGTACTCTGTAAACATCTTTAATGTCGGTTTTCATGACTTTGCAGCCTATATTTTTAGATAGACACAATACAATGTTTATTAGATCATCCTTTCGTTCATCCATCCGTTTTCTTTGGTGTTTCTAGGTACATTTTTGATCTCTAGGTTTGCTTTGCGACTATTACGCTGCAAGTCCTCAATTTTATCTTCCAGAATAATAATATATTCTTTATCCTTCTTTGCTTGAATCTCAAAGTGCTCCTTTTTTTTTTAAGTTCTTCATTTTGCGCTGCAAGATAGGCAATGGAGCTCTCTATGTTACAATTAGTTTGTTTAATTTCCATAAGCGTGGGGGAAATTTTTTTAAGTTCGTTTTCGTGCCTCGTCAACAAAGATTTAATCATGCATTTCATTTCTTCTTTAAAGGCTTCTAATTCTGTCTCCAAATCATCTGCTCTTCTCT